ATTGTAGAACGTCACTCTGAAAAAATGCTTAAGAAGAAATTATATTCTTTTTGTGTATATGTTGTATAAATGTTCGTTGTGTATATGTTACGTATGTCTTTTTTAATATTTATATTCAATAAAAATTATTAAAAAAAAAATTAAAAAGAAAGATATGTATTTTTTCTATTTGTCCTGGCATAGAGATAATGAAATAAAAACCCCAGTAATTGGGGAAGTGAAAGGAAGCACAAGGAATTAGAAATAAAGTGATTGAAGTCTGCTGAGCAAATTCACATGCTGGTGAAAATAGAAGGTTGAGGGAACAAAATGGCTATATGCAAAGAGTAAGACCTAAATCAAAAAAGGTATAATTATTTTTTTCAGAGAAAGGACACAAAAGGCTTCATGCCTGGATTGGTAATTGATAGAAAAATATCATGAGCTAAGCCTTCCAGCTTTTAATGTTATATTTCAATAAGGCAAAACCCACAAGCTGCTATGCACTTAAGAATCCTATTGTGCTGAAGGAGCCAGCTGGACAATCTCTCCAAATGCACTCAGACTTGTGTGGAACGGATTTTATGGTGATGATAATGAGACCCAGCAGTGGATTACCATTATTAAGAACCTTAGAACCATCATCATTTGGTATAAATATATAAGCAAACATTGACAAAGCTACTCAGTTTTGGCACAAAACTAGTCAGCTTCTTTTCAATAAAAACAATTTTCAGGCTTATCTATAAGTCAGCATGAAACATATGTAAAAAATTCTCCAGATAATCTGTATTCTCCAGATTATCAGATAATATTTGAAGGAAAGCATGTTGGTTTGAAAAATATAAAGAATACCATGATATTTTTTTTCTTTCTAAGGAAAAACAGGCTAAACAGTAATGCAAGCCAAGAACATCTCTCTGTTCAGAATGTGTCATCTCTGCTCTTATGTTCCCACAATATCTTCTTCTGGCAAACCATCCCACCTTCTTCTGGCCAGCTCCAATGGCAAAACATTTGTTTAGTGACCATTCAAATTTACAATGGCACTGAAAAAAGTGACTTACAAACATTTTTTGTATTTATGACCGTTGCAGCATCCTTGTGGTCACATGATCAGAATTTGGATGCTTGGAAACTGATATATATTTATGATGATTGCAATGTCCCAAGGTCATGTGATCACCTTTTGTGACTTTCTGAGAAGAAAAGTCAAAGGGGAAGCCAGATTCACTTAACCGTGTTATTAACATAAAAACTGCACTGATTCACCTAACAACTATAGCAAGAAATGTTGTAAAATGGAGCAAAACTCACTTAAAAACAGTCTTGCTTAACAATGGAAATTTTGGACTGAATTGTAATCATAAGTGAGGACTACCTGTGCTTTCTCTCCCTGCCCATCTCTGACACACATGGAATTCTGTATCAGAATTGGGAAAAGAGTGGTTGCCAAACTATAGTGTCATTCCATCATTATAGTTTTAACTGGGAACTTAATTGCAGGAAGAGTGGCATTTTGATAACCAGACAGTTTTCATATCATATTCATAGCTTGGAATTTTTGCACAATGTTGAGTTTGGAAAAGCAGAGACAAAAAGAGGAAAAGGGCCACCCCACCCCATAAGTATAGCAGGAGTGTGGAAGGATGTTTGGTTAATTCAGAAAGAGCTGTTGCTCTGCGGCGCTAGCAGCAACTAAGTAATTGATTGATTGAATTCTCTGTTAATCACTGAGTTCATTTGAAGTTCCCAGCTTGCCATCATTGTTCCAAGCAAAAGAATAAACTAAAGGCACAGCATTTTCAAAACCCTTTGGATGGGTTTAGGAAATTGAAACAGAGGCCTATTGAACTAGCTTAATATTCATATATGTACCTGGAGAAAGATGACAGATATCACTCAAAAAAAAAAAAAAAAAGCAAGATATAAAACTATTTCTAAACACTGCTTTCTATAGCAGATTGAATATAATATATGCATGGCTATGATCCCAAGAAAAATGCCCTCTTGCTAGCTTGCTCTGCCCTAGATAAGTATGTCTATTGCCAATTTGAATAAAATAAAAGGTGGCTAAATGAGTTTTTGTGTTTATCATCCTGCAAAGGCTGTTCTATGACTCATGCATTTTTTACAGAAATGGAAGGATCAATATTTAATGGCTGTACAGACCACACAATGGCACACACAGTTTTTGAATTAAAAACTCTTTCTATGCCAAGGGATTTAAAAAAAGAGAAAGAATGTTGCCGTATTTTATGTGATGGCAGAAATAAATGAGATTTCACTCATTCTATATATAGAATATTTCCATATACTATGTGAGTATCGTACATCAAGTGTCTGAATTAAGCTGCTAAGAATTAATCTGAGCTCATCTATTTGAAAGTTTGATTTTACAGAAATTTGCAACAAAAGAGCTCCATTTAATTTTCATATATCATTTAACTGAATGTTCAAAACTAGTTTGTGCTTATTATCATCCCCTTTTATCTGCGGGGATAGCAAAATCCAGTATAGGTCTCTTTGTTGGCTCTGTTGCCTTAAATCCAGCATACTAGATTCTGGAAATCTGCATTGGTTTTGGTAGCATCTCTTTATTTATAAGGATAGCATCTGGGAAGCAAACTGGGACCCAAAGCAGACAACACCACTTGCTAATCCTCCTCTTGAATTCAGTTTAAAAAATAAAAGCATAAAATAACCCATTATCAGGTTCTAGTCCCAATTTAAGTGCCAGTAATACTTCAAGGACCTTCTCATTAGCTGAAAACCAAAACTTTCTAAAACTGTAGAGATAAATCTTGATCAATAAAGCAATATTAATCTCTTTCATTAAGCATCACCCAACAATTGCCAAGCGATATTCGGCAGCCCTAACTTGCAACACTACCTAACTCATATAATAGTTTGATGCTGAAACTACTAACAGTAACTGGCTGAGTTGGCATAGTTCAGAGTATTCAGTTTTTTAAAAAACATAATTCCCAGTTTGAAATCTAGGAAAGTTATCCATCTGCCTGTGATGAAAATGTAGCATGAGAAAAAGATATGAGAAAAATAAGAAGCAAGTAGCTAGAGGAAAAGACTGCTACAACTAGGATAGATTGAAAAAGAGTAAGTGGAAAATTTAAAAAAATGGGTGGGAAGCTGGGTGCTCCTAATTTGGAGGCATTTTCTAGAAGGCGGGAAAACCCTATTTGAAGTATGGACTGACCATAAAAATTTAGAAGCTTGAAAACCCCCTGGAGACTATCACCCAAACAGGCTTGCAGGCTCCAGTACTTAACTGATTCAACTTCACATCAAGATACCTCCCAGGGGAGAGAAACCTTCTAGCAGATGCTTTATCCAGGTTGCCGCAATGCAGTAGTTCAAAGCCGGAGGTGATTAAACCAGTCATTCCCTCCAAGCAGCTCCAGTCACCACCCGGCACAAGCCAAAATGAAAAGCCAACTAGCTGATGATTTAAGGGTACCCTAAAAGCAGCTTTGGAAGAGGACAAGTGGTTCCAAATACACAAGGGAGAATGTACAATGCAAAATGGTCTAGCTTGGGTGGGAGCCAAACTATATGTTCCACAAAGCCAATGATTATTCGTTCTACAAAAAAGCCATGATTCAAAAGTGGTGGGGCATTTTGACTTCGTAAAAACCCTGCACCTAATCATGCAGCAATTTTGGTGGCTGTCACCGAAAAAGGATAAAGAGAACTATATGGCTAGCTGCCCCATTTGTGCCTTTGACAAAAGGCAACAAGGGAAAATACCCGGGCTTTTCCAGCCAGTAGCAAAGCCCAAAGCCCCATGGAAGAGATATCAGTGGATTTATAGAATTGCCTAAAAGCTTGGGAAATACAGTGATCTGGGTGATAACCGATCTGGTCTCCAAGCAAGTGCACTTTATACCCTGTCAAAAAATCCCCTCAGTGAGCACTTTGGCTAAACTATTCACGCAGCATGTCTATCAGCTGCATGGTGCTCCTGAAATAATAATCTCAGATTGCAGAGTCCAATTCATTTTGCGGCTTTGGCAGGAGTTCCTAAAACATTTGGGAACCACTTAGGGACTCAGCTTCTTGCATTATCATGCTACTAATAGGAGTTGGGGTGTGGTGAATGGGCCAATGGTGCAGTACCTCAGGTGTTTTATTAATTACTAACAGGACTATTGGATGGACCTCTTCCCTTTCATGGAGGTCGCCTGCAATAACTCAGTACACAGTAGCACTGGCTTCACTCCATTTAAAGTGGCCACAGATTTGTAGCTATCCCTGAATTACCTCAAGCCACCGTATTGACTGCATCACTGAAAGATTGGGTTGCACAGTTATAGAACACCTGGCCAGTGATGACAAAAACTTTGGATGAAAGCATACAAAAAACAAACTGATGAAAAGTGCATCAAGCCAAAGGACTTTAAGGAGAAAGAGAAGGTCTGTCTCTCTCCCAAATTCCTACAAGCTAGACAACTGTAAAAAGAAAAATTAAAAAAAAATGGACCCAAAACCTTTCCCTATCAAGAGGATTATTAATTTAGTAGCTGTAGAACTTGAGCTGCCAAAAACACTCAGACATGTATACCTGGTATATCATTGTATAAAATATACAAAAGGATGAAAGCTATTGCTTAGCGCATTGTAAGCCGCCCTGAGTCTCCGGAGAAGGGCGGCATATAAATCAAATTTAAAAAAAAAAATTGTAGTCTACTGAAACCAGAAATCACATCTTCCTGGCATCCTGAATTGCAATCACCCCCTGACCCCATTTATGATCGAGGGAGAGCAGCACTTTGAAGTCAAAGACATTTTGGAGTTTTGCATACATTGGAGAAAAACCCAGTATTAGATAGTCTGGAAAGACTTTCCCCCTTCAGAAACTGAATGGGTCAACTCCCAACATATTAAAGCCCCCAAGCTGCTTTAAAAATTCCATGACCGATACCCAGATAAGCCACATTGAACAGTTTACTAATTGAGAAATGTTGTGTATCTCTCCCTTCCCTCTCTTTTTTCTTTTGCAGGACTAATGTCTCTGTCAAGGGGGGAAAGAATGTCAGCTCTGCCTGGTTTGGTTTGGGGCCTCACAGGCATCCTGCCACAAAAAGAAGGGGCAAAGGATGAAAGGGCAATAAAGCCTGTGTGCACATGATAAGAAATTGGAAAGAGGGAATGATGGGTGATAAGGACCAGAGCAGCTGGATCCTGTTGTACCACCATCCCACGGCCAGGTACTCTGAGAAATATGTGGATTACCTCTCAAACATCTCAGATTTCTCAAAACATTTTGATGAGCTCCGGATTGCTGGAAACAGACTGGTCATGGGCTGGGGCAAACCTACACCTTATTTTCGTATCCAGTGAGTGCAGTAACTTCAGAGCTGGTTTGACTTTAACATCCTTAACAAAAGAACCCTTTGCTTTAACCAAATGGACTTGAAGGCTTTTCTTTCCTAAGGGATTGGATTGGGGCAGGTTTGACATAAACACATGAAAATTATGCATCATGCCACTGCAATACTATGGCTTTGCAACTTTATATGATGCTTTATATGACGGCAAAAAAAGACAATATGAAGAGACTGAAAGTAACAGACTTACTTGAATTCACTAGCAAATAATTTGGCTATAGAAAAATACATTCTTGTTTCAATAGATAAAAGAACATTTCCTATTTGAACCAACAATGCACACAGGTACATTTTCCACCATTTTCAAGATGCAAAAAGAAACAATACTTTCTTACTTTTTAAAAAAACAATCAAATTTGTATTTCCAATACCAAGGAGAAGCATCATGTCGTATCTTTGTTTCAATCACAAAGTACGACTGCAATTGAGTATAATGGATTGACTTATTACATTCATCACTGTACTTTATTAAATGGAACTTCAAAGTATGTATTATGAAATTTAGCAGCCTTTTCAGGCCAGATTATATGCATATATCTATGCATATATTTTTATTGCTAACAGAGTCATCAAACAACACAGATGTTACTTATATTTATGTAAATTATCCAATTATCCAATACAAACAATCAAATGACTGATGGGGATTTTGTCAATGTCAATAGTATTCAAGAGATACTCTGCTTAGTTTTGCTAGATGTTTACCAATCTCCAAAATCTATACACAAAACCAAACCCCATAATCTGGGTAGAACATAGTAAAATAGGCTCCAGGATGACACACAAATGAAATAAGTTTGTATATTTATTCAATATACAGTATATTATGAATATATATTGTGTGAAACTATACCAAAAGAAGTTGTTTTAAATTGGCAGAAGAAACATCAATTAGACTACCGTATTTTCTGGCGTATAAGACGACTTTTTAACACATGAAAATCTTCTCAAAAGTCGGGGGTCGTCTTATACGCCGGGTGTAGCTCTCCTGTAACCAGGCAGACCAGCCCGAAAGGCTCTGACGAGCCTTAAATGGCTCTGGCGATCCCAGCTCTGGCGATCCCAGCTCTGACAATCCCAGCTGAGTTCCCTGCAACTCAGCTGGGATCGCCAGAAACCACCGTAAAAGGGAAAAAGTTTTTTACCTTTTACTCTGACGATCCCAGCTCTGACGATCCCAGCTGAGTTCCCTGCAACTCAGCTGGGATCGCCAGAAACCACGTAAAAGGGAAAAAGTTTTTTCCCTTTTACTCTGAGGATCCCAGCTCTGACGATCCCAGCTGAGTTCCCTGCAACTCAGTTGGGATCGCCAGAAACCACGTAAAAGGGAAAAAGTTTTTTCCCTTTTACTCTGAGGATCCCAGCTCTGACGATCCCAGCTGAGTTCCCTGCAACTCAGTTGGGATCGCCAGAAACCACGTAAAAGGGAAAAGTTTTTTCCCTTTTACTCTGAGGATCCCAGCTCTGACGATCCCAGTTGAGTTCCCTGCAACTCAGCTGGGATGGCCAGAGCCATGTAAAAGGGAAAAAGTTTTCCCCCTCCAGCTTGCTTACCTCAGCTGCTAATCGCAATGCTTGCCTTGCTTTGCTTGCTTGAATCTATTCAGGCAAGCAAGCAACTCCCTGCCTGCAATCAAGCAAGGAGTTAGTTGTGGACTTCAACTCCCAGAATTCCTCAGCCAGCAAAGCAAAGCTGGCTGAGGAATTCTGGGAGTTGAAGTCTACAAGTCTTAAAGTTGCCAAGGTTGGAGACCCCTGTTCTATTGGGTAAGATTTTTCCCCTTTGGGATCTTTAAAAAAAATAGTCAATTGGGGTTTTTTTAGTTGTTCTTTTTTAGACCTAGCCATTTAGGAAGCCGTTTAGGAAGTTTTAAATTTAGCTTTCATATAAAAATAAAAATAAAATAAAATAATATTTGTGCAGCTTTCTGAGATTTAGTGTGTTTCTGTAGTGTTTCACTCCAACTACACAAACACACAAAATCTCACAAAGCTGTATGTGGAATTTTGTGTGTGTAAAGTGTGAAAGTTGGTTTTTTGGACTTTTTGTGGCTGTGTGAGGTTCCTGCTTGTTGCAGGGGACATTTTGGGTCTAGCACAGCTGCTTTTACATTGTGGGTGAGCCAGTTGTGTTGTGTTGTGTGTGTTTAGATTGTGAAAGTTTTTTGAGGGGGCTTTTTGTGGCTGTGTGAGGTTCCTGCTTGTTACAGGGGCCATTTTGGGTCTAGCACAGCTGCTTTTACATTGTAGGTGAGCCAGTTGATGTTTTTTTAATTTTTATTTGGTGTGCATTGGAAGAGGGGCAGTCTTATATGGCAAGTATAGCCCAAACCCTATATTTTAACAGGAAAAGTTGGGGGTCGTCTTATATGCCCAGTCATCTTATACGCCGGAAAATACGGTACTCTGATAACTGAATATACATATGATCAGGAAGTTTTAGTAAAGTAAGTCAAGGAACATAGTAAAAAATAAGCTAAGATTAAATATAAAGAAGATCAAACTAATGAGCACAGGAACAAAAACTAGTTTTAGCACTGACAATGAAGAGATTGAAGTGGTGCGTAACTTCTGCCTTTTAGTTTTGACCATCAACAGAAAAGGACCAGCAATCAAGCAGTATGACATAAATTAGTAATTGGTAATGTAGTGAAGAAATCTTTAAACAAATGTTCAGACATGGTATGTGCCAATCATCAAAAATCAGAATTATGCAGGCAACATTATATCTTATGGAAGTGAAAGCTAAATTTTGCAAAAGCAGAATAGAAAGAATATTGATTCATTTGAAGAAGCAGGCTAGAAAGAATACAAACAATATCATGCAAATAGTAGTAAGAAAGCAAACAACTGCATTATTAAAAAAAATCAGTCTAGAGTTCTCCCTAGAAACAAAAAAAACCTAGTTCAAATTAATATACTTTGGATACATTATATTAAGAATCAGCTCCTTAAGAAGTCATATCAGACTGGAAAATTGGAAGAAAAGTGAAGATGATAGACAGCAGCAAAGTGTATGAACACAATGATAATGGTGATATGTGCACCATTAGAAAATATGAAAGACTAGGGGAGGGGAAGGGCTTGCAACTGGCAGAATGATGCAAACTCTGGTGCTCTGGAGTGAGTGTCAATATCTCAGCTGTTTTGGGAGTTCATAGGGAACCATAGCCAACCCATAGGGTTGGTGAAGAAAGAGGGCACAGACTGGTGTGGACAGGGAATCCGCAAGTTCCCTGTAGCACCAGCGAAGAGCCTTCGACTCTACAGCTGGGAAGACAGCCATTGAGAGCTGTCACAAAGCCAGAGCAGTCACGAGTGAAGGGAAGAAAGAGGAACAAGACATAACATCTGGGTGAGAAAGGAATTGTTGTCTTGGAAATAAAACTTCTACTTTTTAAGAGATAACCTGAACTGTAAAAAAAAAAAATAATTAGAACAAAAAGGAATGGCAAGAGTGAAAGGGGAGGAAGTGGATACTTGGCTACTCCCTTTTTTCAAATCAGCAGCAATATAAGAGCTGGCCATATATAAAAATTAATTTTTTCAAAGAACATGAACTGATTTTGATTAATAAATAGAAAGCAGATTGGGCAGAGTGAATTAAGATTGAAATATGAATGATTTTGGGACTTTAAACTAGAAACCGGAAAGATCTAAGTCAGAATGAATAGACTTTAGATCAGTGAAAATAAGTTGTGAAGGTATACAGTGCCCTCTAGTGGTGAAAAAAAATCTTTTTTTTTTTTATTGGAAGTGTGGAATGAACAAAGAATGACCTTGAACAACATTTGAGATAAACTGTCTTATGACTCAGTGGGAGTAAAAGAGGAGAAGGGGAAGAAGAAAAAAAAAGATTAACAACTGAATAATAGTTCAAAGACTACTTTGTTGGAATTGTTTTTCTGCTGATATATTATTTTTGCTGAATATCTGGAGTACAAATTTTGGGATCTTTTCTCTTCCTTTCCTCTATACTTTTTTTCTGTTTAAAACCTGAAATGTGGAAAAGCTAAAATTTGGATATTGCATTTTTCTTTCCTTTTTTGGATTTTGCATTTCTTGACATTTAATATTTTGTATTTGGGATAATTACTCTTTTTTTTCTACTTATTGTTTTTAGTGCATTTCGATAATCAGATTTTTATCTTTTATTCGCTTACATTTTTTACTCTCTTTTTTTATAGTTGGGTTTTTTATATTTTTAGCTGACTTTTGGACTTCTTGCTTTTGTTTCTGGATTATTAAAAAATTTTTGGCAGTTGGTGGTGTGTTTTTGTTTTTTGTTTTTCTTCCACTACCTGGATATTCTTTTTCTTTCCTTTTTCTTTCTTTTTTCTTATTTCAGTTTCCCTTTAGGGGGAACATTAGTGTGTGGTTTTGTTAATATTATTTTTTAAATGTATGGATTAGGGTATCAAGAACCTGAAGATCTGTGGTGATCAGAATGATAAACGTGGATTATAAATATTGATTTATGAAATTTGGATTATAAAATTGGGTGATTTGAAAGTAAAGATTAAAATGAAGAAGCAACCACAGCATTTATCATCATCATCAATAACAGCAGCACCAAGTTCCGCAGCACAAAAAGCAGCAGAAACAACAATACAATAAGACAAAACTAACATGGAATTAAAAAGCATGATACAAGCAATGCATGATGATCTCAAGGAAATGAAGAAGTAATAGGAAGAAATGAACAGAGATTGATAGCAGTGGAAGAGAAAGCAGAAGCAACAGAGAAAAAGGTGGAGGAGATGGACTATAGACTCACAACTACAGATAAAAGCCAGAAAAGACAATTATACAGTTGGAAATGGACAAGGCAGTCTTCTACTTAAGATTCCAAAACATAGAGGAAGAAAAAGGACAAAATTTACCAGAAAAAATTGCTGAAATATTAGCGGAAGTTATGAAAGAAAGTTCAGAAAAGATAATTAATGACATAGATGAAATTTACAGAGTATATACAAGATATGTGATGAGGAATAATCTACCTAGAGAAATACATGTTAGATTTACCAAAACGAAAAAAGAAAGAAAGAAAGAAAGAAAGCTGAGAACAGAGATCTTGCAACTTATGAGGAACACAATGATACAATATAAAGGCAGAGATATAGTGGCATTGAAACAAGTTCCAAGAAGAGTGAGAGATCTAAGAAAAGAATATCAATTTTTGTCAAAACATTTGATTAAAAAAGGAGTGAGTTTTAGATGGTTGATACCAGAAGAAATCTTGGTGAACTTACAAAAACAAAGGCACAGATTCGATACAGTAGAAAAGGCAGAGCTATTTTATTGGCAATATATAGAACAACAAAAAGAAGCGAAAGTGAGAGAAGAAGAAGGGGTAAGCTACTAGGAAGAGAAAAGAGAACAACTAACGGAGACAACCAAGGAACAAGAGGAAAGAGCATTGAGAGAGGGGGTAAGAGTGAAAGAGATAAAAGAACAAGAGAAACAAGAGTGACTAGATATACTAAACAAATAAACAAGTAAAAATGGAAGAAGAAGTAAAAGTAATATCAGTGAATATAAATGGACTAAATTCAGTAATAAAAAGAAGAATATTTAACAAATTAGAAGAACTAAAATTAGAGATTATATGTCTACAAGAAGTTTGTCACGAGTGTTTTCAGGATTGCTGTAGCTACTTGATCAGTTACAAACAGTATGGATCCAATCAAGCCATCTCCTGTTTGCAATTAACTGCAAACCTTCCCTGCCCTAGTTAATTGCAGGTTAACTCCCCATATAAGCACAGACCTTTCTGCTTGCTACTCGGGCCTAGACACTGTTTAGCCAGAGCCAGTGCTGAAGCACCTGGATGCAGAGCCCAGAGCAGAGCTGCAGAAGGGAGGAGAACTCAGATAAGGAGTCCTGACAGCTGCAGCAGAGATAGCAGCAGAAAAGGAGCCGATGAGCTGTGAAAGATACTCCCACGGAGCTAGCTGCAACTGTGAGTTGAGGTAGCTGGGAGCCTTTTGAAGTCTCCAATTTCAGCTTGCCTTTTGCTGAGTTGAAGCACGCAAGCCAACATCTGAACTGTTGCTGCTGGACAGTTTCCCTCCCAGGAGCTTCAAGCCACGTTTGCTGATTGAATTGTTTTACA